TTGCAAGTTACCCTTTCTACCTCCCACTTCAACTGCCACAAACAGAAACATAATTTACAAAAATGAAAACAGTCTCCAGCTAGTTTGAGGCTTTTTCAAAAAGAAGCACTGGGGTTTGGCTGGGCTAGTTTCCTCAGTACACACCTGGTGTATATCACTTTAAAAAATAAATTATGCCTCATTAAATTACAATTAAATGGAATCATGATCATTTGTTTTTCTGGAAGGAAGATGTTTTGCATATTGAAAGCCTAATTTGTTGCAGGTGACAAAAAGGCTGAACAGATTATCTAATATCACTTCATTTTAGGGGGTAATGTTTGCTGGTTAGCTTGTATATACTCCAGTAGTTCAGAATTATATTAATGTGGACTATATTATTTTCACTTCAAAATGTCTTCTACCACTTTATCAGTTTTTGTACTTTCTTTTTCTTTCTTTCTTTCTTTTTCTTTTTTTTTTTTAGCTTTCAAGGAAACAAAGACTTCTCTTGTATTTTGGAGTAGGCTTGTTCTTTCTTTTTCTTCAAATGTTCTAATACTGCCCAGTGTCTCCTCTTCCCCTTTGTTGAGTCTCACCATTGTCTCTGCATACACATACTGTCTATATTTAAACTCCCAGCTAAATTAAGTCTTACCTCTTCGATAAAAATTTCCCTGAATCCTGCATTTGACAGTACTTCTCCCTCCCTTGAACCAAGATGGCACTAGTTCTATTGCACATTTATGACATTTGGCATCTTTTACATTGAGCTACTATAAAACCTTCTTTCCCCCACTGGATAGTAAACTCCTTGGGAGAAGAAGTTGTCTCATTAATATTTTCATCCCTCTCTGAGCTTTGTATCAAACTGTAAATAAGAAATGAATTAATGGACCGACTTGTCATTCTTTGAGACTAGGTATATCGAATTTAGGAGTTCCTAGATCATCAATGAGTGATATTGGATTTAGGGGCTTCCTAGGTAATCTGTGAGAGATATAGCCTAATCCTAGAGAGTCACCAAAGGTCTAAGAGGCAAGAAAAATGGATATCTATTAAAATGTAGTCAGTAATGATGTTAACTATTGCTTTCACCCATGGATTGGCCTGGAGGGTGTCTCTAAGGGGCTCGGACTCAGCATTCCTAAAACCTGGCCCAGGTATGTGTTCTCTTATTGCTCTCTTTCAGGAATAAAGGCCCATTAAAGGTAGTTTCTCACCCATCCCAGACAAGGTGTCAAGGACTAGTGCAAAAACAGGGAAGTAAATTTTATAGAGCCGGTCATGATAATGTTTTGTGAATACCAACATATATCACACATACTAACAATTTGGAGCAAACTATATAAATTGTTGGAGAAGTATGGAAATCAAAAGTTCATTGACAGGAAGTACAGATTCAGAAACTGTAAGGTCATTTAATTTGTTAGAAAGAAATATTTTAAAATACTAGAAAAAATAAGGACTTCAATTTTTCATTTAAAAAATTAGCCCAAATTCTTTGTTGTGTTTGGAGATTCCCTATATTAGTAAACAAGCTAGATGGCATTATATTATCTCTCATTTTGCACTTCGAATTATTTTGCGTTTAATCAATTTTCTGACAAGCAGATATTCTTTGCTGGTGCTGGAAATTATATGCAGCTTGCAAAAACTTCTATTAATGGGCTAGGGAAAAGGCAATTAGAGGTGTTGGGCCTGACTCCCATCTTTTTCCAGTGGCTTGTAACCAAAAAATGAAGGTATCTCTCTACCTTGTGCAGATGTTTGTTCTACTCCTTTTCAGTCAACATGTTTCCTGGTCTCACATAACCTTGGCTAACACCATGGAGGGAATTATTATAATGTCTCCCTGGAGAAGGCTCTGTTGCCTATGATGAGGAAAATACTTAATGATCACTTTATTTAATACTTGCAATATGTTTTAATATGATTACTGATATGAAAGTTTAATAAGCAATATCTTGGTTAATTTATTAATCCCTCCATTTACACATTCTCAATATTCATGACCTTTCTATTCATAAACATACATCTTTTTTTTTTTTGGTGCTCAGGTGCCACGCCACATTTTCTGTATCTCAGGCTGCATAATGGGAATGTCCAATTGATACCTCCTGCCTGGCTGGTTGATAATTAAAATGCCAGATGACGTAGTGGCAAGGGCTTTAGAAATATTTATGTGAAATAAATTATTAACTTATGTTCTATTCAAGACAGTTTCAATGTTTTAAACATTTTCTTATCTTGATAATTAGATGGGGTGATGTGTGGTATATATAAGTTATGCTATAGATTTCCTTCTGGTTTTTTCCCCCTCTGATGATTTTCACGTAACGAAATAAACTCATCGTACATTTATGATCCTGTTGAATTTGTACTACATTTTTTAAAATCCCAGTTTAAATAGTTAAAAGCATATAAACAACAAAAATGGAAAAAACTCAACAAAATAATTCAATCTCTTCCTGTGCCCACTAGCTAGCCACTTATTATCAAAAATGTCTCAGATAAAAAGAATCCACCTTGGGATCACAGCTACATAGATGAAGGTTTAGTAAGTAATTTGGAACAGTGTTCTAATCCTCTGGGGATAATATAAGGAGGTGTTGGTTTGAGACTTTATCTTCAATTTGGCAAATGAAACAGAGGCAACAGTATATTTCACCAGCCCCTTAAAATACCAGTATTGTATCTCTTTCACTTCACAAATGATGCTACTGAGCAGTCCTTTCAAGGATGCTTTGTCTTCATTTTCCTTAGAGATGGATTAATTTCCTTGATAAGGTTGTCCAATATGTAAAATATGTAGGGGAAGGAGCTATACAGTTTCAAAGTGGGGGGAGAAAAAAAGTGAACCAAACAAGAAACAAATAAAAACACTGTGTGCTTTTGAATGATTTTTTTATTGATTACAAATGAAGAAACATAATTTTGAGCCATGGTCCATTAGAATAATAATTTTTATGTCACTATTTTGTATGTAAGATCTTTGGTGTAATGTACTTCACAACCCATGAAAATAAGTTCACGGTGGAAAAATAAGTTTACAAACTTTAAGATACCTTTGAGATATCTTGAGTATAGTCCTAATAACTATCATCAAGAATATATCTATGTTGACCCTAAAACTACTTCAAATTTTAGTATTTTGAGATTTATCCAAATACTAAAGTTAATTATGAGATAGAAGTAGTAGAAGAATGGAGAAGGGAGGGGAGGAAGACCAATTCATCCTTTATGTGCAGGGCTTATCATTAAAGAAAGCTCAGAAAACATTAATCTTAGTGTCTTACTGGTATTGGAAAGTGGTAGTGATTTTATTTTTACATACACATCCTACCTTGCCCTCTCCGTGGGCATACATGCACGTGTACACACACACATGCAGGTGTGCTTACATGCACACATGCACACAGGCACACAAACACACACACACACCCCACATGCTGCTCTTTAGTGGTGTTTATATATGCATTTCTACCAAGTATTAGTTAGGATTTCTCTAGTCAAAGTAACATGACACCCAAGTTGTAAAACTATCAAATGACATAGTGCTTGTAGATTCCTTATAGTAAAACTGTTTTATGTGATGATTTACGTGGTGATTCCTTGGAGTACTGATAACTGTATGATGCACATTCTGATAAGTGACATTTGCTTCCCTATATTACAGTGCCTTGCATTATTTTACAACATTGCCTACCTTACCCTGCAGATTTCTACCCAGCCAGAGATGGTATATTCCTCTTGTATCCAATGCCTTTTCATATTTAAGCCACATATTAGAAACCTGATAATGTTTCATTTTCATTAATTTTCAACTTAGTGGAAACATCTTGGTATCTCCACCACCTTACCACAGTTCATGGAAGTGACTTTTCATGATTTGGGGTTGCCCCATCTGTTCTGAGATTCAGGATTAACATCTCAGCTCTTCCTGGGGGATAAGCCTAAACCCTAATCTTAAACTGCCCAGAGAAGGGATATTAGCTGGGAATGTACCTTAATGCCTCTGTGTGGTAATCCAACAACTGTGCAGAATGGAAACGGATCTGCATCTTTCCAAAATATTACAATGTTCCAACTCAGATCTCCAGCCCTTTTCTTGAGTCCATACTACTTTTCTCTAGACTTGGCAACATTTCTTTTTCTTTGTGAATTCTTTGTCATCAGAGAAGATGAAAACACTAATTTCCTATTTAAAACTTTTTATTTGGATGATTCACACATTCAGAAGGTATCTGAGCCTATCATGGCATTCTGTACACACTGTGTGTGGCCCCTCACTGGATGTGACTACATTTCCATTGATTTAAATGGTGAGGTTAAAGCTTCTCCCATCAGGGCATCTCACAAAAAGGTTTGGGTGCCCTCTGGTACATATGCAAGGATAACTGTTGTGTGGCTTGGGAAATTATCAGAGGGTTAACACAAGTTCTATCCATTTGCTTTGGTTTTTTTTTTTTTTTTTTTTTTTTGCCATAAGAAACATCATATTGAAAACAGTGGCCGGTCACAGAGAAATTCAGCCAAACTTTTTTTTTTTTTTAAATTGATGTAAATCTCCCATGCTGTTTAAATGTCGGAACTAAATTTACCAAACTTGGCAGATTTGTAAAGCTGAGCAGGACTGCCAAGTGTTCCCAGTTTCAAGCAGAGAGAGTTCTAACAGTTCCTGAAATACTTGTAGGAGGCACCTGGTGGTAATTGCAGTTTCACAATTCTTCCCAAGTGCCTACCTTGCTAGCTGGCATCTCTGTACACCGATGATTATTACAGTGATGACAAAGTGTCAGAACAGAACGGTCCTAAAACAAGGCATAGCCTCTGGAAGGCAAGCGTGTTTCTACAAAATCTTCTTGCTGGAGAACCCTAAGGAATTGGCTTGAGGTCCTTGACATCACAGCCAGCTGGTTACACCAGACAAATAAAGGGGGAAAGAGCCAGAAGACAGAAACCACACACATATATCTGCAGATATGACTTGACCTATTTTTTTTTTCTCATTTAATTAGGGATTGTTGTCTGAGATTCTGCGTAAGGAAGAAGATCCTCGGACGGCCTCTCAGTCTCTTTTAGTAAACCTGAGGGCCATGCAGAATTTCCTCAATCTGCCAGAAGTGGAACGGGATCGCATATACCAGGACGAGAGAGAGCGGAGCATGAACCCCAATGTGAGCATGGTCTCATCGGCCTCTAGCAGTCCCAGCTCCTCCCGAACCCCTCAGGTGAGATTTGATCCACTGACTTTTCAGTCTTTGCCTTGGAAACATCTTGCCTTCACTAATACTGTGTTTTTCCTCGAAAACTAAGAGACAAAATTCAAGAATTTCTTAATCCACTGAACATGTTGGTCAAAGGACATGAACCTCTGGCTATGTAATAGTGTAATCCTGTACTATATCATATGCCATTTCCATCTCTTTAGGAAAGGTGCCCATTCTTCCATATGTAGCAGGTGAGGGGAGCAGGTAGGCAGCAGTGTGTGGAGGGGTAGGCTCTAGAATTTCTACAGACAGCTGCTTAGTTATCAAAGAAGGGGTTAGAAGATTTGTGTTGAGGCTGAATTAGCACATTGCTTTTCCTTAAATTTTATGTTTATTCGGATGGAGTGGAGGGTTATTGAGGGCAGAGGACAGAGCTCTGCTTTATGCAATCTAAAAAAGGCAAAATGGGGGAAGACCTGTGCCTAGTGAAAGCATGCACATGTTAGATCAGAATGGTATCACTCAATGATCCCTTAGAAAATGATAGTGGAAAGGTAGGCCTTAATGATTTTCCTTCCTGGGATGATCTCCACATAGGATTCAGTGACTCCTGTTCTCCACACACTTTAAAAGTGTGCTATTCTCAAGTCTTCCTACAAATATGTGTGTCTGGTAATGCTGTGTCAAGGTCTCAAGGCAGTCAGAGGTCATTTCCAGTTAGGATCTGAGGCCACTCATTTCTAGCCTACTCCCTATTTCCCCTAAACTTTTAACTCTCAGTAGATTTATGATAAAACTATCCCATTCACTGTTGCTAGAATGGTAGCAAGTTCTCTCTGAGTGATAGTTTTCAAACCAGTATTTAATGCATATATATTTATACAAATCCAAAAACTGGGTAATTCAAAACTAAGGATCATTTTGCATAGATACTGTAGTTTTGGTTTTATAAGTTTGTTTTCTGATTAATTCCAAGAAACGCATTAAGCATAGAAACAAAATTTTATTTTAGTAGAAACATTTGAGCTTCTTCAAGTGCAATTCATTTTTTCACACATCTTAACTCTTTTTGTATTTTTGCACTCTGCAATAGCTTTTTAATTGAAGATCATTTTCTATCATGCACTGACAAATTGTGTTACTTACACTTTAGTGAATTATGAGTTTTAGTTACTTTTAAATGAAAAATGAGTCTCTTGACTGCTTATTCTGGACATGTGTAACCAAGTCTTTTTATTTATTTATTAAAAAGTTTTGGGGCATGCATATTGAGCTCCTAAGTTGGGTAAGTTGTTAATTTGCACTAATATTTGCTTCTATTAAATTCACCAGTATTTTTGCCACTTTTGAAGCTCATGAAACTGTTATAGGAGAGTCTAGCCATGCTTCTTGACCATTTATCTAGGCAGTTCTTCTGAGAAAGTCACTTCTATTTCTTAGAAAATAACACAGGTCTGTGTGTTTTGTTTTTAGCTCCTTTATAATATTTTTCTAAGAAGAGTATACCTTAGGTACTTTTTTAAAGACCTGATAGTTTTCGGAGCCAGACCAACTTACAAGCCCACACAGTTAGGGTCAGTATTTTGCTTTTTGGGGGACAGAATACCATCTAGATAAAAGTGCCCTTTAGGGATAAGTATAACAGGCAAATTGATTATTTCATTTCACAGTTTTGAGATTTCTGAAAATAAATATGAAATATTTAATCGTGGGTTTTTGGTCTCATTTTTTGGTGGCTGGCTGGTACAGGGATCCAAACTTTTTTTTTTTTTTTTTTTCCTTTTTGTTTTTTTTTACTGACCGGTAACGGGATCGCAACCCTTGGTGTCGCGCCCGTACTGGGGACCGGCAATGGGATCGCAACTCTCAGTGTTGCGCCTGCACCGCGCTCAGCCAGTGAGCGGGAACCGGTCTCAGGGATCCAAACTTTTGACCTCGATGTTACACCACACTCTTACCAGCTAAGCTAACCAGTCAATCTTAAACATGTTTCTGAGAATATAGTCATGGCACCGCATTTGCACATTCTGTAGAATTTTCTTCTTTTACTGGGGGGGGGGGGTAAAGAATGAGAAAGGGAAACTTATTAAAGTCTTTTAAAACATTTCATGATTAGCTACTTAAATTCCTTAAAATTCCTTACAGACATATCTCAGTAGTAAAGATCCATAGCACAGTAAAGCTTTCATTGTGAGAAGAGATAATAGAGGAGTCTGTACTTACTCATCCTTTCAGTTGGAGTCAGCAATTTAGTACATACAGGCAGTCTTACATAAGCATGGAGAGATCATTTTTCAAAAGCCATCAACATTTTATTGTGGTTTCAAAACATATTGAAGGAATTCACATTTGAAATTAAACCTCTTTTCTCATAATCCTTTAAATGGGCCAGTATTCCTTGGTGTACTTAATAATTACCAAATAATAGCATAAAGATAAGGATGATTGTAAAGTGCTTACTGTGTATCAGTTATTGTGAGCATTTTGCATGAATTAAATCCTCACCACTTTGTGATATTATCCCCATTTTACAGGTGAGGAGGTTGAGGTTTAGATGAGTTAAATAGCTTGTATTAGGTCACATGGCTGAGTGGTAGAGCTTGGATTTGAACTCTAGGTATTCTGAGTCCAGAACCTGGGCTCTCAACCATATATTATAGTTTCTTGAGGGGTTTCATTTTAGCCCTCAGGCTTCTAGAGAAGATTTGACAGGTGCGGCTAATGAAGAAAACTGAATTGGGAAAAAGAGATGATATGCTGAATTATTCACTTAACAGGAAAAGCATTGTGGGTTAACTAGAAATTTGGGGGAGAAAAGGGAGTTCTTTGAAAAAATTACAGAGACTTCGATTATTATGGGAAAGTCCAAACTAGAGGTGAGGAGGATACCTGTAAAAACAGCATCCAGAATAAATCACAGATGTTGGAGGCAGTATAATACAGTGCTCCTGAGCCCATGCTTTGGAGCCTGAAGATGTGAGTTCAGGTCATGGTTCCTTCACCCGCTGTTGCTGGTCCTTCTAGCCAGCTAAGTATCCTCTTTTATTTCAGTTTTTAAAAATTGCGTGATAATAAAAGTAAAAACACTTTCTAGAGTACCCGGCACATAAAAAGTACCCTATAAATTATACTTATTATTACTTTGTAGATATTAGAAAATAGTACAAGACAGGGAAGTCAAGGAGAATGCAAAAGTCAATGAGCACTTTTAAAAAGTAAAGCTTTCGTGGAAATTTAGAATCTTAATTCTGGCCTCAAGACACTGTTGATAATGATTGCACGGTGTCCAAACTGCATGCCATGTCTTTCTCCAGATCCACAGGCTGCTGGATCCATTGAAGACCAGCTCAGGGCATCCACATAGGGAAAGTTGTGGTTTGGGGACAGCTCCCTTGATTTGGGATGCTAGGTTGAATGGAAACAAAAAGGAAAAAAATAGTTTAGACCAGTTCAGCCTGGAGTGCCCAAGGATCAGGGCTGACTGTTCCTGGAGCCATGTTGCTAAGAGTTCTAAGAAACCAGCTCAGCGCCTCTCATTAGACACCAGCAAAGACTTTTAAGGTTCAGACCAAGCAAATGCTCTCATAGTCTTTTGGATCAAGTAGATTCAAACGTTTTAGGGTTATCCTAACCCCAAGAAGTACAGACACCTTCTATATTGCCCTTCATTTGTCTCTGAAGCTGATGGGAAATCATTCAATTAAAACGAGCACAGCAGAATACATAAAACCACAATATGAGTTTAAGAAAATGAAAACGGCACATCAAAGGCATTCTGAAGCCTAGTTTTATGAAATGAAATTTTGTTTCATTTCCACTGATTTCCTAGGTGAAATTAGGTGACTGTCTGGGTAGCATAATGATGATAATGATGGGAAACCATACATACTCAAATGACATACGTAAAGCTTTAATAAAGAATGAGACAGACTCAGGGGAGTGCATTAAATTGAGTAATAATTTATTATTTAGAGACCTCTACCCATTTACTCATTTTTTCTGGAAGAATTGGCTCTTCCTCCAAGGTGTGCCATTTTTAGAAAGAAAAAGGTAACTGTGTGTGTGTTCTGCATGTTTGTTTTGCAGTTAGATCGTTGCTTATTGTTTGGTGCCCAGGGTAGCTACCCTACCTGTGAACCATCCAGGGTACTGTGAGGGAAAAGGGTTGACAGGGTTCTGCATGTCCTATAGGAATGCACTGCAATTATTTCCAATCACAATTAACCTGATTAGAATAATGGACAGGAAGTGTCCCTCTGTAGCTAATGCAGTTTGGCATCAGCTGACTGAAATCCTTTGATAATTTCTGCACAGATGGCTGGGCTGAATGCAGCACTTTTTAAATTATTATTTTCATGGTCTCTTGGTAGGCCAAAACCTCGACACCAACAACAGACCTCCCTATTAAGGTGGATGGCGCCAACGTCAACATCACAGCTGCCATTTATGACGAGATCCAACAGGAGATGAAAAGGGCCAAGGTGTCTCAAGCCCTGTTTGCCAAAGTGGCTGCAAATAAAAGTCAGGTGAGTGGTTTTTAAAAGAGCAAAATCTAGGGCTGGAATTAGACCTTTCTCCTCCTTCCACCAATAAAAATACATCTGTTCCTATAATAATAATAACAATAATAATCCCCAGGGAACCTGTCACGTTCTGCCTTTTGCTCCACAGTTTGCTTTTGCTCCCATTGGAGTTCAAAATAGGGACTAAGCCAAAACCTCAGGTATTTTCTTCTAAAGAATTTTTTCAAAAAAAGAATGAGCCTTGAGTGATTTGTCTCTTTTCTAAACAGTGGTATGTGCTTTTTTTGTTGTCGTGCTTTTTCTTTCTTTCCTTTTTTTTTTTTTTTTGTATTCATGCAAAATTTAGAATGTGTATAACAGCACCTTTCTTCAACCAAGTTTTAAGCAGGTCTCATCACCTCTTATTCCCAGCAGGGCAATGGCTGACTTTGTTATAATAACCACTTTTCCCCAGCCCCAGAGACAGCTTTCCATGTCAGGTGTTTCTTTTATGTACAGAATACAGTTGTTTTTTCAGGAGAAAACACACATGAGGAGTCCAGAATAAGTGTTAAAATCCTTTAACAGAAAAACATAGACGCTTATCCAGTAAAATTTTTCAGAGTGCCGTGATTGTGGGGAATGCAATACTCTAGGGAAAAGGGCAGACAGATGCTTGGGTTTTTTATTTCTGAAAGCAGCAACAGTTGTGGGATCTATTATCTGTTTCAGTTTGTTTAAAGGGACAACTTCTGCCCTATTCTAGAATCTTAGGTTAGTTTGAGGTGCTTACTTATTTATGTCTAGGATGAACAATTAATGCGAGGTAGAGGAAGTAGAAGTTAGTTAAAACATAATTTTGAGAGTCCTTTGATTCTGAGCTTGATTTCCTCTGTGGCCTTGAATGACAAATGTTTTCATCCCTACATATGTAAATGGTGAAATGGTCCATCATCCCCCTAACAGATCTTCTGTTAGTGTGCTATAAAGAAAGGAAGTTACTGAGTATTGTATTTCTATTAAGCAAGAAGGTTTTCAATAAAAATTAAGGTTTTAGAACTTAGAAACCTTTAAATGATAGATAGTTAAATGTTATTGAGACTAATTCTATGGTTTTGGGATAAGCCAGTTTTACCTGCAATTTTTCAGTAACCTGACAAGTAATTTTCAGATGTTGATAAAAGGGAAGGAGAAGTAGAATACCAAGGAATTTTGAAGAGGATTGAAATGTTTGTTTCCCTTTTCAATTTCAATATAGTAATTTTTCTAGATTACTCTGACTCTCTCTCATCAATGAAATCAATGAAATACAGTTTGCTAAGACATGATGTCCAGCCATAGTATGAAATAAATGAAAAGAAAATACCATAGAGCCTTCTTAAACTGTTAAATGCATAAAATCCCATGCACCACATGGCAAAATATAATGAGAGTTGGACCTGTTAAACGAATAAAGCTGTTAAATGCATAATGCCACTTGGCAAAACTACTGTGCATTTAATGGTTTTCCACTGTGTAATAAAGGACATATGTGGTAAATGTGCAGTGAGTATAAAAGCTGCACAATTGATTTTGCAAACCTGCCCCTTAGTCATGACTTGATGTAAATATCAAAGTTTCACTCAGCCCTTTTTTTATAAGCAGCTTATAAGAAAAACTGAAGACCACAGTCTGAGAACTTGATTCAAAATGCCTATAATAGTCCTGTTGACTTGGCACTCTGACTTTTGGAAACAGTGGTGCCTCCGGCCTCCCAAAATAATTCAGGTGGCTGATTGAAAGCTGTCTTTGCCAATTGGCTAAAGCTTAGCTTTCCAAATTTTTGATGCCTCCCAAGAGATCAGTAGCCCTGATCTTGTAGAGTCTGGAAGAAAATGTAGTTCTGGGAATTAATATGCCAAAGGGTGAGATTGAGCCTAAGTGTTCTTTTTTCACTGAGATAGTGATCTTATTATAACTTAGGAATAGGGGACCTTATTGGAAATAGCTGACTAGGTAGGCAAATCAGGCGTTATGTTTATAAAAAGTGGTACTGCCTGACAAAATGAACTTAACCAATAGTTTCAAAGGCAATTTAACATAAGATACTCACTCCATTTTATAAATACCAGTGTTCACTTGATAAAAAGCATATTTAGTGAAGTCAGTTGTATGATTTGGAACACTGCACATATATTCGGTGCATATCCACAAGGTATAGATGTATGCGTGTGCATATGTATATAACTAATGGTGGGACTTTACCTCTCCAGGCTGCAATGGGGAATGGCCACACCTACTTCACTGGATTGTGAGGACTGAAAGAACAAAGGTTTTATCTTCCTCTCCTGAATTCCCTTCTCTCCCTCTTTTATTTTACTTTGGAGGGATTGGAAGTTTTGGGGTTACTGAGTGGGCAAATGCATAACAGGGGCTTTTCATTCCCTTGGAAGTGAAATTAGGGGAACCTTTAATTAGGAACTTCTATGAACTGGAGTAGGCTTGGAGCCCTGAAGGCCCAGTTCAAATACACATAGCAACCCTCCCCTTCCATTTGAAATTTCTTTTAAAATAGAAATGAACCCTCCATTAAACTTCATTCATTCCTTGGTGCGAATTGCTGTAATCAGCTATTAAGAATAATACCTAACAGTGTCCTGTGTGTTAGGGAACCTTTGAATGAAGAATAGGAAAAAGGGGAAGAAAATTTTAGAGAGATTAAGGGTGGTGAGCCAAGATGGCTAAATGTTTGGGAACAGGCACAAAGTGGGGGTGGGAGAGGTAGAAAAGGAATTGAAAGGGTGACAGACTAGTCCATGGTGAAAATCCATTATGGGAAGTGTGTGTGTTTCCTTAGTGCATTGGTTACAACAGGATGCATTTGTAGGGTCACAGACCATCTCCTCCAGCTCAGCCCCAGCTCCTTTGTCATGGCCAGGCCAGTCCATCATCCAGTTCCATTAGATATTTCCTATCTGGCTCTTGCCTCTTTCTTCATGGGAGAAAAGTCAAAGAAGAACAAAGTAAGAGGGAAAGACACACTTAGGTACATTTCACCTTGTACTTTTATTTTTGATTTGGGATCAGTTTAGTTGTTTAGAATAATTTAGTGTGTGTGAATTCTGAGGAGTATCTTTCTCTTCTTTTTGCAGAATATTCAGATTGTTGGTTGTTGGTCTTTAAGGGATAGGATGACACTATGGCCAGTGAAATAGGAGTGAGGGGTTCTTAGTTGGAGTTATAATGTAAAGGTGTATAGGACGTTTTCTGTAGAACTTCAGTCTGACCCTCTCGTACAAAGGGCCACCAAGGAATGAATCGAGTGGCCACAGGAACCCCTCGTTCCTCAGCAGCTTCTGGTAATCTTCTTATCCCTCTTACTTTACTCTTTTCTTCCCCGTTGCCCATAATCACCTGTGATCTGGGAAGTGGAAATCCAGAGGGGAGAAAACACAGTAACCTATGGGCACTCCTACTGCAGTCCTCCAGTGATGGCCATGTACTTTGTCACAGCATCTTCTGCCATCTTTCTTTTGCTTGACATCAATTGCTGCATTCCCCAGACACTAATTCATTGTTTCTCTCATATCCTGCTCTCTGTTCTCTTTCATAGCCTCGTAGAATGCTGAGGATCATCTGAAGTTGGTTTTCTTTTGAGAAGAGAGTGAACATTGTATAGCCCAAGACCCAACTCTACATATATGACTGTCTTTTCCTACAAGGTTTGGGTAAAAATAGAGTAGGGAGAGAAATGAGAAGGGGCTTAGTTTAATTCCTATTTTCCTTCCCTCCACTAAAAAAATAAAAACAAACTAATGAACAAACACTTCAGGAGGGCATTGGGCTTGCTTTCTCTATCAGAAAGATAGAGGGAAGTTGAGACACTGCATTCTGTTCTGTATGGACAAAGGGAAAGAGATAGCCTGGTGTAAACCCCAGATGGTGGTAATGAAAGAGCCAGCCCCAGAGGCTGTTGGGATGAAATAATGAGGGTGATCTGGGAACAAGAAGGGACCCAGAGAAGTCTTTGGTGAGATGACGTTGGTAGGATGCTCTCATCTCCACCACGGTTTAAGGACTCCTGCCAATCCTAGAATTCTCCTCCCCATTACTCCCCCCACCCTCTTCCAGGCCCGTGATCTGTGGGAGCTAACTATAGAGTCAGGAATGATAAAGGCCTTCTTTCTACTACAAAAGAGCGTAGGAGGCACAATCATGATCTCATTGTAGAGCTAGAGGAGATGGATTTCTGGCCTCTACAATTTTGAAATCATTTTTCCCATAGAAACTGTTCTACATGGTGATTGTGTTTCAATATGTTCTATGCTTCATGTACACTATAATTAAATAAATTTTGTGTAGTGACCTTTATACCTTATCACTATCTTTCTACAGCAAATATATATGTGAGGGCACTTCAGAAAGTTCATGGAATATGGAATTAAAAGATAATACAAGTCTTTCCATTAACTTTTTGAAGACCCCTCATATATATTATGAGTTCTCAACAACTGACTTAAATTTTATTCCTAAATGAGAGGCTACTTCTGTTTTAGATGTAGTTTACGAGCTTAAATTTTATGAACTTTTTTTTTTTTTTTAGTCTCTCCTTATAGCTGGTCTAATTTGCTTTATAGGCTAAATGATTTAAAACATACAGGTCTCCATGGCAGATCCTTTTTAAATAAAACAAAACCAAAGGAAAGAAAGACAACTTTACATAAAAAAAAATGGGTATATTATTTGGTTCGTTGTTTTTTTTTAATTGTTGTTTGTTGTTGGCGTTTATATCACATGCAGTATATGTGCTAGCGTTTTCTTCATTCAGTCATGGATTACTGTATTAATTTATGTTTTTGTATCTCTTTTAAAAATATCCCAAGCATAATTGTACATATTTCTTTTTTAAAGAAATAACTTCTATTTTATGATTACATATGTAATAACCTTCTTATTTAGAAAATTCAGAAAGTGAAAAAAAGTATGAAGGCAAAAACGTGGATCACCCACAATTCCACAACCCAGAGGTAGTTACTATGAGCATT